ACAATCATTTTTCGTATATTTTCATATATGTTTTTGTTGTTTCAGGTGGGAAAGCAGCATAGTCTTTGTTATTCTTCTTTGGCTGGAACCAAATTATAACTTTTAGTAAGACTTTCCTGAGAGTTTGAAGATAATGACAGGGAAATAAAACACAGCCAATAGTTTACAATGGCAACCATATGCACCACATTCTGAGTCCACAGGTCCTGCTGATGTCCTTGTAACTCTCAAACCTGAATCCACATGGCAGCAGCCCTAGGTTTTTGGCCCTTGCCTCTTGCCATGATATGGTTCTCCTTTATCATGCGAAACAGTTTGTTCCTTGCAGTCAAACTGTCTCAAACATTTTAAAGGAGGGTTCTTTCTGTTTTTTTTTTACATCTGTGTAGGTTTACATCTAGTTGAAGTCATCTTCCCCTCTTCTCTGCCAAAATAAAGATCAATCTACTCCAAAGCTAAATTCAAGCTCCTACCTCTTAGGAGCTTTCAAATTCCAAGTGGCTGTTTCCCAATTAAAAACAAATAAAACCAAACCCCTGGTGCCCAGTTTCAGCCTGGGAACCCCATTATACCAGAGTATGTTATTATATATTGATTAGATTAATATGCACTAGTGCATGAACTAGTATATTGCACTAGCATATGGTATATTAAAACACATACAGAAGGGTGGCCAGAGGCATGCACTAGGAATCTTAATTGAATCATAAATAAATGATAAATTATAAAAGTTGGAAAATTTGATCTTTAGTGCTTGCCTCTTTTCATTTTGGTTGTTCCCCTTTCTCCTCTGGATGTTTTGCTTGCACATTTTCTTTGATTTTCAAGCTTATAATCAATATAATCATTTATAGAAAGTGGAGTTATACTATAAATGTAGCGAAGGAGCTTGCTATTTAAATGAACCATGTAGTTATCTTTTATAAATTGAAGAATATTTTGTAATGTGTCTATTTGGCCAAGAATTTTTCTTTTTTTGCTTCTGGAGTTTATTCATATGATCATATAAAGTTTTTATATATCAGGTTTTTGTGTATTCAGGAGTTTTCATATGTTACACTTATAGGTGCACAAGATGTACTATATAAATCTTTGTAGAGCATATCCCTTAGTACCTTATTCAAGCAAGCATTTCAGAACTGATATTTTGAAGATTAAAAAGAATATATTTGAGGGGCTGGCCCCGTGGCCGAGTGGTTAAGTTCGCGCGCTCCGCTGCAGGCGGCCCAGTGTTTCGTTGGTTCGAATCCTGGGCGTGGACATGGCACTGCTCATCAAACCACGCTGAGGCAGCGTCCCACATGCCACAACTAGAAGAACCCACAACGAAGAATATACAACTATGTACTGGGGGGCTTTGGGGAGAAAAAAGGAAAAAAAATAAAAATCTTTAAAAAAAAATAAAATAAAAAAAGAATATATTTGATAGGAAAGGACCAAAATGAATCCAGTAGAAAGAAACTTTCTGAACCTAGTTCTTGTGGTATTTTCAAGACCTTTAGTAAATTGCTTTTATGTATGGAATAGGATTTCTTGAAGGAAAGATGCAGTTTTTTATTTGTATGTGTTTTAAAAGTGAAATTTCTTATTCATTAAACTTCAAAGTAAAATCATTATAAGAAAGATTGGGAGAATATTTCGAGAGAATGGAAATGCTTTGTGCAGACTTTATAAAGCATGGATGCTAATATTTTAGATAGAAAGGAAATTTGTTGAAAGTTTTTTTCTATTTAATTAGGAAAATAGCCATTTTCTCCTGACACATGTCAGTTTGACAGTGAACTGGCTAAATTCTATAAAGAAGCTTTCTTTGTCAATAGCTGGAACATGTTGCTCTTACCTAGAACATTTCTGTACGTGTCCTCTGACACCACAGGCAGAGGTAGGTCCTTCTCTGTGCCTTAATACTTTGTACAGGTCTCTCCTGAGCCCTGCTTAGATTGTATCACATGTTTGTTGACTCTCGTTTGTGAAACTTCTTGGGCTGCAAAATTGCTCTGTATTGATTTCTGTATCCTGAATGCTGAGAATGGAGCTGTGTTATATAGGGAAAACAAGTGTTTGTCAAAGGAAAGTCGGATAATGTTCATTCACATATTCATTCAGAAACACACATTCAATGTATTGAATATATGCAGTAGAGTAGGCACTGTTCTAGACCCTGGGAATACTATGATGACCAGGACCAATGCAGCTCTTACCTCACTAGTCTTACGGCTCAGAAGAAAAGACAGACTTGGATACAAGCCATCACAGTAAATGATGCTGAGGGTTATGATAGGAAGCATAGAATCCTACTCTAAGACCGGCCTTCAGTAATGGGGGTCTAAGGCTTTACAGAGGAGGTGATGTTTCCATTGGGACTAGAAGTCTGAGCTGAAACCAGCTGAAAAGTGTTGGGAGTATTGTGGGGAAGGGAAGGTGATGAGTCCAGTAATAGGAAGCTTGCTCCATGCATCTTTATTAGTGTATTACAGGAGTGACTTTTTTTCTTCCAACAGAGCTACTTGGTTGACTCTTCATATTACCTTAACAGAGACAAAGACTGTAATAGTTGTTTAATGTTTAAATGATCTTTTTCTGAATATGGCTCTTCAGCCAGTTGTTCAACATCCCAACGTTTTAGAGTCACGAACACATAATTCTTTTTTGATATATATTTAGCTTTAGTGTATAAAGTCAAAGACAGTATCCTAAAAAGACTATCATAACTTTCTGTTCAGAATCCTGACAAGAAAAGATAATCTTCCTTTTGTGGAAATTCATCTGCTCTCTAAATTTCGGAGGTCACTTTAATTTTTCACAGTCTTCTAGCAGCAATTTTGACTTGCAGAGAAACACATAAAAATCACCGTTTACTGATCTTAAGAATTTATCATCTCTACTAGAAGCTTCCTGAGAAAGTAACAGCTAATATTTGTTGAATGCTTTCCAAGTTCAGATATTGTGCTAACTCTATGTTATGAACTATATCTTATGTAAACATCTCAGAAACACTGTGGAATAAGTAATATTTTTATCCCTTTTCTATAGACGAGGAGACTGAAAATATTTAAGTGTCCTAGGTGTGACAACTAGAAGAGTCAGATAATAATTTGATCTCAGAAGTGTCTGACTTGAGTCTGAGTTCCTACGTTGGTATTCCTTCAGAGAGCTAAATGTGATATGTTAACACAGTTTCAAACCCTCTTCACAGGTTTCGTCCATTATAAGGAACACTATTCTTTGTTATATTTAGCAAACATAATGTATTCCATTTTTTTATGCTGAAGTTCATGAGTAGATGAAAACTAAAATATTCATGGAGTAAAGTAGACAAGACAGGCCCTTTCATATGTTGTTGAGGGGATGGTGTGTATTGGGAAAGTTTTTGGCAATATATATCAGAACTTAAAATTCATTTGCCCCTTGACTCAGCAATTTTAGTTTTAAGAGTTTATCCTACAGCTAACTTTGCTCACACGTGCAAAGATTTATGTCATGGTGTTCTTTGGTAGTATTGTTTGAAATAGGAAAGAGCTGGAAATGGTTGTGTTCAGTAGGAGCCTAGTAAGATAAGTTATAGTGGTCAATAAAATGTAACTTTATTCAAGCATTAAAAAGGACAATACCAGCTAGTTAAGTCTTTACTAAGTTCTGAGCATGGCTCTTATTGAATCTTCATAAAAATTGTAGGTATTATTCTTATTAGCTCCATTGATAGAGGAGAAAAATGAAGCTTAAGGAGGTGAAGTGATGTGTCCAGGGTAGCAGGACAGAGACACTGAAGCAGAATGGCTTCAGAGCCCACACTTAGGTACTGGGCCATATGCCTCCTGGTCGTCTATTTTCCAATGTGAAAAGGAGATAAGTTGAGAAGGTAAAAGAACAAACTGTAGAAAGTTTTATAGAACATTTGTGAAAATGTTCTATATCTATATCCTCTATCTGTTTCATTTATAACATATAAAATATCTCTATATGTTTTCTTATGACATAAAATCTCTATTATATAAAATATACATAACTGTGAATGTATATATGTGATTATATTCATAAATACACACACATAAAACCTACATATAAATATATGTACATATAAATATACATATATATACTTATGCACACATATAAAACATACATTCATGGAAAAATTTCTGGACATATAAAAACAATGGGTATTTTTTGGACTAGTATGGAGACTTTTAAAAAATTTTCACTTTATACTCTTCAGTATGGTGAATTATTTAAAAGTAATGAACACATATTGCTTCCATAATAAAAATAATTTTAAATTGGAAAACTTAAAAAAATAGTGGATGTGGTAAATCTTTAACAATTATTTTACTGGAGGAGAGTAAAGAGGGACTTTTCACTTTATACCTTTATGAACTGTGAACTTTTGAAAATGAATGAGTACACATTACTTTTGTAATAAAAATATTTTAAGTGCAAAATCTTTAAAAATAGTGGATATATTTCTCCAACAATTATGAAATATTATTTCTGTGACTAAGTTTAGGATATAGTTTATTCATTATACTGACAGTTTAGGATAATTCTGCTTATGTTAAACTCTTTTCAGAGAGCTGCTGTCTTGTCGTCTTAAAGGTTAACTCTTTTCTAACGTCCGTTGCTTTGGAAAGTCTCAATGAAAATTTACCTTATCTTTATAGACAAGATTGTTTCCAACTGAAGTCTTAGTAATGAAACCTTTACAGCAAATGAGATGCAGCAAATGCAGAAGTTGACAGGACTTTTACTAGGTGTTGCTAGTCAATTGAACACAATTTTCTTACAGGAAAATGGTATCATGCTTCTTAAACTCCAGAGCATTTATCAAAAACAAATATCAATGTGAAACTACATTGTTTATTAAGAGACAATGTTTAGTGTCAACTGACAGTATTTTAATATTAGGCCTAGTCATGGAATGTACTTGGAATTAGGTCGGATGATAAATGCTGGAATAGGCATAGCTAAAACTTAAAGTATAACTCATTTGGGATTGTGTTTTTCAGGCGAAGCTCTGAAAGAATCAGCTGAGAGATTTGCAGATGACCCCTGTTATCTCCCGAAAAGGGAGGCTGTGGTTCAAGCCGCCCGTGCCTTGTTGGCTGCAGTTACCAGACTCCTTATCCTCGCTGACATGATTGATGTCGTGTGTCTTTTGCAGCACGTGTCAGCTGTAAGTAAAAGATGGCTTAGTTTACCTGGGCATTGTTCTCACTTCTAAGTCCGTTCTCTGAACCTGGCGTCAATCCTAGTGCATCCTGGCCTCAGTCTTCTTTCTTTCTTTTTTTTTTTTTGAGGAAGATTAGCCCTGAGTTAACATCTGCTGCCAATCCTCCTCTTTTTGCTGAGGAAGACTGGCTCTGAGCTAACATCTGTGCCCATCTTCCTCTACTTTATATGTGGGACGCTTGCCACAGCATGGCTTGCCAAGCGGTGCATGGGTCCGCACCCAGGATCCGAACCAGCAAACCCCGGACCGCCGAAGTGAAACGTGTGAACTTAACCGCTGTGCCACCGGGCTGTCCCCTCACTCTTATTTCTTAATGTCACCCATCAGAAGCTGACTGGATTGGGTTGTGAAAGTAATGTATACTTCAAAAGAACAGAGCCAGAAGTTAGTTTTAAAGCCAGTGGGAGATTGAAAAACAGAAGATGGCTTACTGATAAGGAAATGACCAGTAGAAAGTTCTAGGCTTTTGACCAAATGGTTATACAAAAATTATGTCCTATATAAATATATAAATAAATACATATAATAACATAATTATATAGATAATCTAGAAAATAAATATATAGATATACATAATTTGAGAAAGAGAAACTGTAAAGCTTAAGACATTTGGAAGTTTATCCTAGTTTGTAAATGAATACTACTTTGCCAGCTCTTCTTGATGCAAGATAAATGGTTTACAGGTAGCATGTGGTATCTGTAGTAATCCATTAAGGAAAATGTATAAATGGATCAAGAGTAAAGAATATATTTTAACTAGGAGACTACAAAGGCAGCAAGTTATCTTGCTTGCTTTATTTTGCTAGACAAATCCAGTTAGCAAAGGTTTAGTAGAAAGAGAATTTTATTAAAGCATTTTTTACTTTTTCAATTTACTTAGTTTGACCAAGTCATTAATAGTGTCCAGATGAAGAGATTGCCAATAACCTCTTGGATTCTCTGCTCTATCTCCTGCTTTAGATGGGACCCTTACTCTTCCTTCCATAAATACATCTGCATTTTCATAAAGGCACCTGGTGACTGTAATATCACTATTCCATTAAGCAAATGGTGGCCTTGTCTGATTGACTTCTTGTCAAAGTCATTTTCTCTAATTGCTAAGCTAAACTTTTCTTTGCATCTTTCTCGTACTCATTAATGCTTATTTTATTTTTTGGTGAAGAAGATTGGCCCTGAGCTAAGATCTATTGCCAATCTGCCTCCTTTTGCTTGAGAAAGATTATCCCTGAGCTAACATCTGTGCCAATCTTCCTCTATTTTTTTTGTATGTGAGATACTGCCAGAGCATGGCTTGATGTCCATGCCTGGGATCCGAACTCACAAGCTCTGGGCTGCTGAAGCAGAGCACGTGAACTTAATCACTACACCACTGGGCTGGGCCCCATTAATACTTATTTTAATCCTAAAGTAGAGTGAACTTCCTTTATACTTTCATAGTCGTTTCCTTTGATAGTTTTATTACTGCAAAAAAGCAATTCAGTACTCTTTATTAAGTAGCTTTTTGGGAAAAGGATTAGTTCTCATCAGTAGCAGCTGTCTACTAGTGGATTTGTAGGTGAGATAATTAAGCAAGTTTTCTTGTTACTTGGTTATTGGTTTGGTGAATACCTTAAATTCCTGAACATTTCTGAGATTCATTTTTTTCCATATGTGAATATAGACACTAATATATGCTGTAACCAGAAATGAGTATGAAAGATTAAGTGCCAGGTTATTCCTAGTGCCAATGACCCAACATTTTCTATGTTTTAGACCCTAGATTTTTTGAGATAGAGCAAAATGAAAGGCTTTTGTAAAGTGAAAATTGCTACCTTCATAATCAGTTAAGAGGTAACTGTATATATATACATATATACACACACACACACATATATATATACACATATATATGTAGATAGATACCATAAGCACCTTCACTCCCATTTTAATTGAGTGCCACTAACTGCTAGGCACAGTGCTAGGTAATTCACACACATCGTATCATTTAAATGAAGCAAGAGTTAATTGTAGATCAAAGAAAAGCAAGGTAATATCTTTTGCAATAAAAATTATAGTTAATATTTATTAATTTTTTTGTAATGTTCCAAGCACTGTGCTGAATTATCTCCTTTAATGCAATCCTCACAACAGCCCTATGATTATGATTCCTATTTTACAGAAGGAAAACTGAGGCATATTGAATTTAAGAAACTTGCTCAAGGCAGGAGGAAAAAACAAGTTTTGGAACTTAGTACTCCTAGGGTTAGAAGAGCTTTAACTATAAATCACTTTTCAGAATTATTTAGACAAGTTTGTGGCCCTATAAAAGTTTGCTAAGGGAGTTTAGGTATGTCAGAAGGGGGAGGCATTCTTAACTCTAACCACCCTCTCCCACGTTTGTTGATGCCTCATCAGAGCCTGAACGTGGGCTAGAGCATTTAAGTCACTTCTAAGTATGTATAATACAAAGTGATACCTCAACTATGAAAAAGGGAAGAACTTTGTGCTAAATTATGATATTTTTTCATTATTTCATTCTTATGAAAAACTCATATTTGAGTTGGATTATCAACTCATTTCTTTTGAGGTTTCACGTAGAATGAAGACAAACAATTTTTTTTGAGATCGTCAAGATTAGAATTATTTAGCCCAACACTTCCCCCAAAGGTATTCTGCAGAACCTGTCTTATAGATTTGCAACATGAAAACGTTTGTTTTGTGGTCAATTTTGCACACAGAAATTCCCTGTGAATGTTTTCCGTGCACATTAACATGTTAAAGTTGATGAGAAATATCTAAGCAAAGAAACTTATTTAACTTTGCTCAGCCCAGAGTTTCCCAAATTCCTTGACTCGAGAACTCTTCTGTAATGCATAATACTGGAACTCTCTCAGACCATACTTTGGAAAATAGTGGTTTAGAAGATTTCTAATGTTTATGGTTATATTAAATGTCTACTTGGAATGAAAAATATTGTTGCAGAGAAACTTCAGTGCCCTTACACTTTAATATCTTCCTGAAGTAGATGGACTCTCCAACAATATGTGATACACACAACTGTCTGACAATATATGTGGTCGCTGACAGTGATGGCAATCTCAGTTCTGTGAGATAGTGAACCTGAGTTGGGACAGTTGTAGTTGTTGGAGACATTTTTCTCAAACCGAGCCTAAAGCTGCCACCTCCTACTTCCGTTCACTGCTTCTAGTTTCACTTTGTGGAGCAACACAGAATCAACGCCATAGGAAAAGGCATTCTTCAAATAACTGATGATTGCTCTCAGGACTTACCTGTTCCTATCTCACCTAGGCTAAGATTTCTTGACCCTTGAACATTCCTTGTATGACAGTTTCAGACTACTCTGGATACTCTAGAATTTCCATATCTTGTAAGATTTTCAGTTTCCTGCTGAAATTTTTAGTCTTCATTTTGATGTACTTGAACATGGTAAGCAGATCTGTTTTATGGTTAAAGTTTGAAAACTGCAGTGTCTAGACACCCTGGGTGTCTGCTTGTGCTATCATTATGCTGGTTTTTGCTCGTGGTGTCTTGTCTTCTCATGTTAATGGCTGTTTTTGTGTGCTAAACATTACCTCTTCTGGGACTCATCTCAGGAAATTTCTCACTGTTTTATTAGCTCTTTGATGTTTTTAGAATGAAGTATTTTATATTTTATCAAATTTTATTAGTTTTCTTCAGCGGAAGGATTGGACTGAAATACTAATTTGCCAATGCAAAAAATGGAAGTCCTCCAAATTCATCTCTGAAAATCATTTTTTATACATCTTCTAGATTATAGGTAACTCCCATAAAATGTTGAAATCGAAACATCTTGAAATAAAAAAGTCTCTGATATGAACATTCCATAATGTACTCAGACAATAGCCTTCCTGATTTAACGTCTAACATTGTCTCCTTGTTCTGACAGCCTTATCATGCTGTTGGTTCATACTGATTTTGTGAGCAATTAAAACCTCCAAGTCTCTGAATGCAAATTCCTCTTAATCCAGTCTTCCTCCTCTGATCTAGTTTTGTCTCTTTATATGCAAAAGTAGACATTTATATTCATTTTATTTTATCTTATTAACTCTTGCTTTTCATTACAGTTTATCCAGATCTTTTTGACTTTTGATTTTCTCTTCCCCTCCTAACCTGGTGTCTTTTTCAGATTTCTTTAACCATGATATTCATGAAAAATGTTTTAATGTCGTGGAAAGCAGTGATATTAGCTTCCTTTCAGATAACATCCATCAAATATTAACGTATTTTGAGTAAAGTTGTTGAAATGAGCTTCAAACTCGCTTCACTGGACTACTATATAAACCATGTTTCTTTATTTTATCCTCAAGCGCTTTCTCAAGGGCCTTGCTGAAATCTAGATGTATTGTCTGTGGCACTGCATATTTATCACTTCAGTAACTCCAGTTATAAAGGAAATGAGGTTAGTTTGGCATGGCTTGCTCTTAATAACCCCATAAGAGCTCTAAGTGACCATTGCTTCCTTGCTTTTATTCCTTCCTTCTTTCCTTTTTTTTTGCCTGATTAAGATCAGCCCTGAGCCAACATCTGTGCCAATCCTCCTCCATTTTGTATGTGGGATGCCTCCACAGCATGGCTGATGAAGGGAGTAGGTCTGTGCCTGGGATCCGAACCCGTGAATTTGGGCCACCACAGCAGAGAGCATGGAATTTTAACCAGTCGGCCACAGGGCTGGCTCCCTCTCTCTTTTTTTTTGACCTTCATTTTTCAATTACTCACAATCCACTTACTTATAGTTGTAAACCACTTGTATGCTGGGATCTCCTTGCCCTGAAAGATCTAGGTATAATTGGCTTGAAGCTTCATTCCATGTCCTGTCAAATATAAGGTTCTCACCAAGGTTTCTGCAAATTCTTTGGGGCTTGTATTCTCAGGATCATCTCTGGCTCCAAGCTTTTCCTTCACTGAATTACTACAATTTATGG